GTATAGCTAGATTGTTTTAGATGTAGGATAATAATGTTCATAAGTATTGTATTTATCAATAAGTATTTTTTACACTTACTATAAAAACCTCAAATTTGTATTTTGACAATTGTATTTGGTGTAAACTAATGTTGGTAAATCACTACATAGTATTTAAAACAAAGTCACTATCCGCCGTCTGTCTGTCCCTATGTATGCTTAGATCTTTAAAACTACGCAACGAATTTTGATGCGGTTTTTTTAATATATCGCACCTACAGTGCAATATCGTCACTTATGCAATTTTTGTCAAACCTTAACTAATTATGAAAGAATACTCCAAATTCACCTCTTTACTTGGTGCGTTATTGTCATTTGTGTAGTAAGCAAACTGACATTGTGAGGGTATTACTGTCGTTACGGTTTTGGCGGATCTGGACGGCACTAGGAAAAACAACGTTTCATTGTTCAGTTGCGCGCGGGCCCCCGCAATACATAAGTGACGGTATAGCACCGGAGGTACGATATAGAGTGATTCTTAAGGAAGGTTAATATGTATAATACATGCATATTGCAGCCGAGCGAAGCTGGGGCGCGTCGCTAGTCATAAATAAATAAAATAAAAAATAAGTAATTGAAAGTGTTTCGTTTGTTATTGCACACACAACCTATAAACCAATACTTGTGTGAGGGACTGTTTTTAAATGAAAGTAAATCGTTTCTTAAACTGTCAAACACCAACCGGTCACCGGTGACCGCAACCTATTGTTCTATAATTGTGTCTATGATGACGGTACTCGACGAGTTAAACTGTCAAACACCAAGCGGTCACCGGTGACAGCAACCTATTGTTCTATAATTGTGTCTACAAAACCGGTACTCGACGAGTTAAAATTTCACACCCCCTAGTCATTCTCCCCGAAAATCTAGGCAACATGTGAAAGTTCCCCGTCATAAAAAAAAATTGTTACTTACAGGACATTCCGGAACTGCTAGGAGTGGGTGCCACACAGCATCTAGCCTTGCTGCTCTTACCAGCGGAGACTGAAACAAATGGATTGTCACTTCAAATAAAATCTGTTAGGAGTCATACTCTCATTATTTATTACTAACTAGCTTTCACCCGCGGCTTCGCTCGCGTCACAAAAGGAAATATACCAATACACACAGCGCCATCTATACCAATACTTTTGTTGTCCATCGGGAATATCAATTTTTTCCAGGATAAAAAGTACCCTATTATTTAATCCAGACTTCTAACTTTATGTCTACAAAAATTCAAAGCAATCGGTTTAGTAGTTACGGCGTGAAAGCGGAACAAACAAACAAACTCACTTTCCGATTTATAATATTAGTAAGGATTGATCTGGCAAAAACAAACTTACTACTGTCTCAAAAAAATTTTTAAACAACTGATTTTTTGCCTTTTAAACCTTCCCTGGACTTTCACGAACATTTCAACAATAATTAGCCAAATCGGTTCAGCCATTCTCTAGTTTTAGCGAGACTACATAACATAACATAACATCACGCCTTTTATCCCCGAAGGGGTAGGCAGAGGTGCACACAGAAGTAACACCCACTTTTCACTATTTATGTTATGAGTCCCATGTAATAGGGGGTGAGCCTATTGCCATATACCGGGCACATTTCCAGACTCTGTGCTACAACTGAGATTTTTAAGTAATACTTTGCCCGACCCGGGAATCGAACCCGAGACCCCTTGCCCGGTAGCCGCACTTGCGACCACTCGGCCAACGAGGCAGTCAGTTTTAGCGAGACTAACGAACAGAAAATCATTTTTATTTAGATAGATTTATGTACACATATACAACACAAAGGACAATGCATACTTACATAAAAATGAATTACATAGGTCATTCATTGTTTTTAATCTATACTAATATTATAAAAGATTTGTTTGTTTATTTGTAATGAATAGGCTCTGAAACTACTGGACCGATTTCAAAAATTCTTTCACCTCTGCAAAGCTACATTATCCCCGAGTAACATAGGCTACATTTCATTTAAAAAAAAAAAATTCTACCCCCTGCGAAGCCGGGACGGACTGCTAGTTTTATATATATATGTTTGATGGTAGACTTTGACCACTATCTCTGCTCGTGATTAGAGATGATGGGGTCTACGATTTATCCATTCAAGGGTTAGAGTGTAGCCTTAGGGGCGCTATGACGCGAGGACTTAAAAAAATTTTTCATCAAAAATGAGAAATCTTATAAGCGGCTGGTTTTTCATTTCTATCGTTTAGTATACCTAAAAATAAGGTGAATATTTAAGGTTTGCCTGAAAATGAGCACTAAAAGTCAGTTGGGGGAGTATGTAAAAACGCTTTTTGGGCACCCACTTTTGATTTTTGCTTTATTATGAAGTATACTAAGCGATGGAAATGAAAAACTAGCCATTTATAAGAATTTTTAGAAATCCTAAACTCCTTGCCCCTAAGACGACCCAATGACCCATTCAAGCAGCATTCTAATTGAGAAAATAAAAATTAGACGATAATAATAAATTTTATTTATTTTCTTTTTATTTTTTTATCCATCATATTACACAGTGATGTAGACCTTAATATTAGTTTTATAATATTGACAAAGTTTGTGAGAGACTGGTTCTACATATGGTTTTGCGTACCTAGTTTAAGTGACAATGCAATGATGGAAGTCAGGAACCCAAACTAGGATAACCTGACGATTGACTAAGAAACAAAATTTTAAGTCCTTACAAGAACAAATACAGTGTTTTCATTTACTTTAAGGGACTTCTCCCACGTATGACTCCAAAGACAAAGGTCATCATTATCAACAGCCTATTTAAATGCTCATTGCTGAGCAGGCCTCTTTTCGCACGGAGTTTTGAACGTTAATCACCACGCTTGCTCAATGCGGGTTAGCGATTTCGAACTTATAATAAATTAGAAATTATAAGCCCAAGTTTCCTCACGATGTTTTCCTTCACCGTTTGTCATGATATGGTTTTTAAAAAGTTAATCGGAGGTTACCCTAGCGGGCCCGACAAGAACATATTTTGCTCACACACTACAAATATTTCTTAGTTAAATTAAATTTTCAACAGAGACAAAAGGCACCGGCACCATAATAACGATAAAACGTATAATAATCACCTTTAGATCCGACAGACGCCTTTGTTCTCGCCATGTTACAGTTATAGCACTCCAAACAAGTGTTAATTTCAATTAAAAACACGTAAAAAATCACAAGAATGTCCAATAAACTATTTACTTCGTGTTTGTGTCAATAACAACAGCAAAAACGCGCGAAAAAGCTGTTTTGATCATTAAATGCCACATTACCGTCAAATCTGTCAATCAGCAGCGTGCCAATGCTGCCAACCTAGTGAAATTTTGACATACAATTTCTAAGGAATGCCAAACAATCACTGATATGATAAGAGTATGGATAAGAAACAACTAGGAAAAAATCGTGCCTACATAAACTTCACTTGGTCACCTGTAATGGCGGATAGAACTAGGGATGTAACTTTTAAAACTGTAGAAATATCGATATTTTAGATTTGGTTTTAATTGACTTATCAAAAAATATCATTATTTTATGATTCATCTGGATTTAATTTTTATCTAGCTGCTAAACATTACCAACGTATTAGCGAAATATATTT